GCTCGTGCCAGGCGTCTTGGTTAATCACTATAATTGATATTCCGTTGATATCACCGCGGCGAGTAACGGAGTAACACGGTAACGAAGTAACGCGATTAAAGGTAGTCTCTTATTGGTTCGCTCGCTCGTTCTCTTCAATCGAATTATATTATTATCGCGTACGAGCGTGAGATAAAGAGAGAGAGAGAGAGAGAAAGATAGATAGATGGATAGAATGAGTGGGTGCAAGGGTAAAGGGAGGTATCTACATTTTAGATTTCAACAGTTCAATGTTTCCAAAATCTTTCAAGTAATAAAACAAAAAACGAGTACATTGCAACCTTGATAATTGGTGAGGTAGGAGGAAGATAGGGGGTAAAAGTTGTTAGGTAGATTTTAGAAAATAACACGAGTTCAAACCTTCCAAAATCTTTCAAGGAATAAAACAGAAAACGAGTACATTGCAACTTTGATAAAGGGTAAGGTTTTTGGAAGGTAAAGGGTAAAATTAGTTAGGTATATTTTACAAAATTTCACGATTTCTAACCTTCCAAAATCTTTCAAGGAATAAAACATAATAAAAGTACATTGCAACTTTGATAACTGGTAAGGTATATGGAAATTTATGGGTAAAGGTAATTAGAAAGGTATATTTTACAAAATTTCACGAGTTCAAACCTTCCAAAATCTTTCAAGAAACAATATAGAATACGAGTACATTGCAACTTTGATAAAAGGTAAGGTATGTTGAAGTTAGGGGGTGAAGGTAGTTAGGTTATTTTAGATTTCACGAGTTCAAACCTTCCAAAATTTTTCAAGGAATACTACATTGAGGGATGAACAACCTCATAGAAAAAGTATAGGGGGTTAGGTACATGTATTTTATTTCCACACCCACATAGTAGTGGAAAACTTCAAAAAAAAAAAAAAAGAAGAGAAACATATCTTATGAATTTAATTAACCGGATTTACAAGATTTTTGACAAATGACTTTATTGACATAAGCATTCGTTATGGTTTTCTCTTCTAATCCTACTAATCCTCAAATCATAAATCCAACCATAGATCTTTACTTATATATTTATAGATTTTTTCTACATTTCCATAAAAAAAAGGGATCGGATATTTTTTTGTTGTTTCTTCTTCCTTCTCATTTTTCGTCACGCGAGACGAGGATGAAGAAGACACACACCACACACACAGGAGAGGGGGATGAAATGGTATTAGGGATGAATTATCGCAGAATCAAAATAATTCGATAAATAGGGTGACGCGTATTACGAGAGAAGGGACGAAACGTTCCTGTACGTTGGGGTGCAAAAACATCATTCGAGATGATCAGATAAAGTATTGTCACGGTGATTAGGATGTTTCTTTCGTATATCCCCACCATTATATTATTTATTTTTATACATCGATCGATCGATAATCACAACATTCCAAATTCATTTGTTTCAATCGTAAAATCAATTTCTATTTCGATTCATTTAAAATAATGTTTAACGTACTATAAACTAAAAAAAAAAAAAAAAAGAAAAGAAAAAAATTGGACAAAACTATATCAGTTTATTAAAAAAAAAAAAAAAGGGGTGAGTAAATACACGACGTTTATTCGTTTCGAGATAATTTTTTGGGCGTGGTCCCGCGTCCATTTAGATCCACGTTGAAATCCTCTCTAGGGCAGATTGGCGCCGTGGCTTGGAAAAAGCAACCCTCGCAGCTGTTCGATTTACTTTTACGTTACGTTGGCAATCAGTAATTCGCAACACGTCTTTTGTAAAAAAAAAATATAAAATTAAAATAAAATAAAATAAAATAAATAATTAATTATATATTAATTATATACTTAATAAACTTATAATTTCAATGCGAAAAGTAATGCAAAAGAAAATTAAACCAAAAGATAAATAAAATAAATTTAAAAAAAAAACCTTCCTAAAAGAATGAAACCAAAATTTTTGACACGATGGTTGGGTTAGAGAGAGAGAGAGGGGGGGGGGTAGTTTCAACCCTCAAGATAAAAATGTGACGTGTCAGGTGGTCGAATTTAAACGACACAATGGCACACACGATCTGAGAATGAAGAAAATCCATTCTAGACTAAATCTTTCATTCAAATGCGATCGTTCGTACGATCATCCCCACTCTTTCCCCCAACCTTTCATCTACTTTTACTTTTTTACATCAGATGCATCGAACGGTAGCTAAGTAGGATACTTAGTTGCACATTTGGTTGAGAACTTTTCGAAAAGCGTGATCCCCACCCAGATCAATCGAGAACTTGCGACACGCAATTCAAGATCTTATCTATTGCTAAGTAGCAATAGCTTACCAACACTACCACCATCAACCATCAACCATCACCCTACTACTATTACTACCACTCGAACCGAATTTGTTCACCCTTCAACGGTCTGGCTATTATGTTGTTCTTTTCAACGGCCTAACGAACGAAAGTACGAACGAAACTACGAACGATTAGTTTATCTTTTTATTTTCTTTTTTTATATATATATATATATATTTTTTTTTTTCATTTACTAGCTCGATAGTTATCGTAACGATCGATAAATGTCCGTGAAAAGAAAAAAAAGAAAAAGAAATATTTTTAAGTATACCACCCTAGTTATTCACAGTCATTTTTGTACCAACAGATTAGATCTTAATAAAGATATTAAAAGAACTGTAAGAGAAGTAGGGGATGGAAGAGAAAGAAAGAAAGAAAGAGAGATGGGAGTGGGGGGGGGGTGAGGATTTGAATTTGTTAAAGAATTTTATAAAAAGGGCTAAAGAATCCTTGATACGATGGAAATCGTTCTTATTGTATAAGTGTTGACCTATTTATCAAGTACCTATAATATAATATAATATAAAGTAATGATATTAAATAAATAAGATATATATAATTCTAAAATGATATAAAAGAATAAAATTACTATAAAATATTATATGTAGTCTCTCTCTCTCTCTCTCTCTCTAAAATATTATAATATAAAATATAAATAATGATTTAATAAATAAAATATAGAATATTATAATATAAAATGAAACACACGTGTAATCTAAAATAAAAATATATAAAATAATATAAGATATTTATAATAAAACTTAATATGAAATATGTAATATCTGAAATAATATAAAATAAAATAAAATAATGATTTAATTAATATAATATGAATATTATAATATAAAATGAAACACACACACCTGTAATCTATAATAAAAATAAAATAAAATATTAAATAATATATATATAGTAATATAAGATATAGTATAAAACTAATATAATATAAAATAAAATAATGATATAATAAATAATAAATAAAATGAAACACGTGTAATCTAAAATACAAATAATAAAAAAATAAAATAATATAAAACAAAATAATTATGTAATAAATCTCTCTCTGTCTCTCTCTTATATGAATATTATAATATAAAATGAAACACACACACCTGTAATCTAAAATAAAAATAAAAATAAAATACAAAATCAAATAATTATATAATAAATAATAAATAAAATGAAACACACCATCTGTAAGTAATTTAAAATAAAAATAAAAATATAATATAAAATAAAATACTGATATAATAAATATTAAATAAACTAAAACACGTGTAATCTAAAATACAAATAAAAAACCAAAAATAATATAAGATATACTATAAAAAAAAAAAAAAACATATAATAAAGAGTATATGTGTTAGATAGAAAGAGACAATACATACTAAAGTAAGAAAGAAAGAAAGAAAAAGAAAGAGAAAGTAAGTTGCTTTTCTCAGACTTAATTGATATTATTCGAGACATCCGAAAAGGGAAGAGAAGAGAAGATAAGAGAAGAGAAGAGAGAAGTTGTCTTTGTATTTGTCTTTGTCTTTGTCTTTGTCGGTGGTAGGGTATCGCTTTCTATTATCGGTCGAAGTAACAATGAAATTTCAAACGGCTCGTAGATAATTAAGCGTGATCGGTAGAGGTCCGATTACGGTCGCGACACGGACGAGAATAATTAGTTTTAATTGCCTCAACCGAAACTTATCCCTACCTAAACCCCCTACAAACCTACCCCACCCAACTCCAAACCCACCCCCGTTGAGGTATTAAGGGCAAAGTTAGAGGGATCGCGGGGTTGGTTTATTCGCGTTCCTTTGGATAGAATGTGGGTGAGAAGAGGTGAGGAAAGGAGAGGCCGTGGGTAGGAGCAGAAGAGGAGGGGAGGGGGGACTGGGTTCTAGGTTTTGCGAAGCGTGAGCAGGTAAGGTATACACGTACTACGTGACACGGTTGGTAAACCCAAAGCTGGCTTTGTTAAGCTCGGATTCTGAGTGCCTTTGATACGTGTACTTGCACGCTAACTAACCACCAACCTAAGCTATTCGTTGCTCCCACCCTGTATACGGCCTATATATGTATATATACTATATGTGTGTGTGTATACGAAAGAGGAAATATATGTGTGTTAACTTCTCTCCTTTGTATGTTCGCGTGTGCATGTATATATGCACTTTCTCGCGACGTATATCGCGTCTTAGCCAGGGACGTGTCCATCATTCATCCCCTACTCAAAAAGATCATATTAATTATTTGTTTGTTAAATATTATATAATTAATATTAATTATTATTAAGTAGTCTATTGGAAAATTCTGTAAGTTCAAAACAAACATTAGTTCAATATTTCGTCACTAAGGGGTAAGACCCCATTTCTTCAAATGGAATATACAAACTGCCACCATGTTGGGCATGAGTTGAAAAGTAATATAAATTTTTCAAATTATGAATAATTTATTATTTTATTATTTTATATAGACCTAATACAATTTAATTTATTATTAATTATTATAGAATTTTTTAAACAGCACCTAACCTAACACTTTTCCTTCTTCTTCTGGAACAAATAATTTAGAAGCCCTATACAACAATTATTTATAATAAAATATAATTTATATATAACATCCCTTGTTCATTTTTATTTATTTAATTTAATTAAAACCCTTTTAATTATATTTATTGTTATAGGATAAGATTGAAGAGTAAGATTCTTCGAAACCACCACTACCACTAGCACCACGAAAACATCCGTCCCTGGCCACGCGAATCTACGTGAAGTCTTTGTCGCGATGATGGTACAGGGGTGGTGGGAGGGGTGGGGAGGGGAGTATATATGACTAACACGAGCTCATCACGATACGTTTCCAACTGGGAATTGAATTTCGGTGGTAATTTTAATGTTGTTGTTGTTGAAGAGAACGGAGGAAGGGGGTGGTGGTAGGAGGGTTGGTCGCGTTCCGAGACAGAGAGTAACTAATAGACCCCCTACCCCTCCCTACCCCACCCTGTTAGTGTATCTCTATGTTGACTAATCGTATCCTAGACATGAATTTTCTTTCTACATTAATTTTTGTATCCTTTCAAGAGAAAATAATTAACACAAAATCTCATTCAAAAAAAGGTTGAATTTCTTCAAAATTCAATTACAAAATGTTCTAATACGTTCGTTTTAATTTTATAGAAAAAAAAAAAATAAGCCGTTTGTTTGATGGTGTGAATTAATCTTGAACGATGTGATTTGGCTTTTTCTACAAAATTTTTGTAGATTCGTTTTGAACAAAAAAAAAAACATATATCAGGTCTACCGAAAAATTCAGTTTTCTTTCAAACAAACGTTAGTTCAATTTTTCGTCACTAGGGATGATAAGGCCCCATTATCTTCAAATGGAATATACAAATTGTCACCATTTTGACAAAACTTTACTTTGCAAATTGGCAAAAGTAATTCAATTAATTAATTGTTCAAATTATGAATAATTTATTTTATTGTATTATTGAATTTTATTTTATTTTATTGTAAAAATGGACAGAATTTTTTTCGGTAGATCTAATATATCTTTTTTCAAGATTTCTTTAGAATCTTCAAAAGTCAAAGATCTTCTACAAAGGCAAAAAGGGCTATAACCACTTAAGAAAGCTTTCCTTCCTCCTACCCCACCCTCCTCCGAACCTTTTTCCAAACGGGTAAAATCTGCGTCGTGAGAATAAGCGGATTTACTCACCGATGGAGTGAGTGGTGCTTCCCCTACTACTACCACCGTTATATCTTTATAAATGGAAGCACTTCCCATAGGTCCTAGAGATAAGGACACCTCCATATTGCTCAAAGGATCTGCAAAATTATGCTTACACTATGAAAGCGTAAGAGGTTGTGATAGATCCTTGGTAATAAATCGTTTCAATGTAACATAAAGTCAAATGGTAGATACCTGATCTTCAAATCTTACATCACAGGTCAAGTACGTTTTAATAGATTTTTCTTTTATATAAAAAATTATATTATTATATAATATATAATATGTTTTAGATAAATACATGATCTAGAGAAATAAATAAATATTTAAATATATATTTAATGAATTTAATTTGTAAATATTATTTACATAACAAGAGTGACTTGTATAATATTAAAAACACATTGAGCGTCACGTGAATTCTTAAACGGGAATTTCCGTCAGGCCACAGGTGTAACTTAGTATTGGAAAAATAGTTGAACACGTGTCAGTCATATGTGACTGACGTGGCCAAAATTTAGTCTAATGTCAGTCATCGATGACTGACGTGGCCCTCAACGTGTTCAATATTATATAAAGAAAAATCTATAAAAAAACGTATTAAAGCGGTCTTTAGCTAGATTTCACTTGCCACGGAATGTGTAGCATATAAAAATATGATAAACATTACATGGAAAGTAATATCCATTGCCCAGGTCTAACCACGAGGAGGTAACCGCTTCTGAAGACCCACGAGGGATGTGGATCCTAAAGATTCAATCTACATTCGAATATAATTCAAAGAAAAGAATCTAACTCTTAGGCCCCACCATCAGAGTATCATCCCAAAAAAATCCGTAAAATTATTATCAAGAATACAGGAAAAAAGTTTGAATATCCAAAAATACAAAATAACAAACGAATATTAATACAATTTTATTTGAAATGTAAATAATTGGAGCATTTTATATTACCTTCCGGTCCAGGAACGCAATCAAATTGAAGACAGTCATTTGATAAACTGAAAAAATAAATTCATATTAAAATTATTTTCTATTCAAAGTACGTTAATAGGTATGTAGTAACGTTTAAATCAATGTATATGTGTTGAAACAATCTGAAAAATAATTAAAGTTTATTAGAATAATAAAATAACTATTAAATAATAGAAAAGAATTCGTATTGTAATTTAGAAGCACTGTGTATATGTTAGGTACACCGTCTTCCTCGAAATTCACCTTCAGACTAATGGGTTGTCATCTATGAAAATTCTTACATTGAATGTTGTTTATATGACTTTCCGAACATTACGCATATGTGCAACGGTAATAATTCAACTAATTAATAGAATTTAACATTATAACATTCTTTAAATTTTATATATAATTGTTTAAATTAAAATACAATTTGTTTTTTTAAATAATTCTAATATTATATATAAATACGACGTTAAAAGTTCATTTGCTTATTTATTAAATTCTATTTTTAATAGATGTTAATTAAAATTAACATTTTCAATGTAAATTTTGATAATAATTAACAAAATCTATCACGAACATCTGATCTTTCATAATGCAATCTAATTTTGTAAATTAAATTTTAATTAAACAAATATATACATATATATATATATACACATATTATAGTTTAATTAAACGATTGTGAACACTAGTTCCATCTAAGATCTATGGAGAAAATTAAAATCATATAAAGTTATGGTAAATATAAGCATTGATACTAAATAGCAATATTTGATGCAATCTATTATACTGACGAATGTTATTTGTTATAAATAGCACAATATATTTTATATAATTATAAACATTTTGAGAAATCTTTAACATTTAATTAAAAAATATTTAAATGGTTCTAGTCGTCACTACTATCGCCCACTGGTGGTCCCAGTCTTAATTAATTTTTTTTATACGGTCGATAAATCAGGGAAAGTCACTTTTTACCTTATCAACAACGGTTGGTAAAAAAATTAACACCTTGACCACTTAGTGGACGATAGTAAGCACTGCGAAGACGGTCCCATTTTGCAGATGGCGTTGTAATGCTAGTACAATTTCTAGGAATTTTCCGCTTGACTTTTCGAAAAAATTTGTTAATAAACCAATGCACATTTAATTTTATAAATAAATTGATCATTTTAAATGATATTTGTTTAAAAAAAGGACCCTTTTTAAAATTTAATTTTTATACAGACAAATTAAAAACATTTTATCCTTCACAACTGTAAATACATTTTCGTATTGTTACTTTGTTCCAAGATGTCCGATACCCAATCTTGCCAACTATTAAGTTGTTGACAATATTTACATGGTGAACATGGTATAAACATTTGTCAAAATAAACAATTCATTTGTATTTTTGGAATTTTTTGAAAAAATTTAATTTAAATACAAACAAAATGTTCTATCACGTATGTAAAAGTGATTGTTTTATAGTTTCTGTATTTTTTTTTTTGTATTAAATTTAAGTTAACCTCTTTATATGTTTATTAATTAATGTAGATATCATTGGAACAAGAAGTCTTGTTACATCCAAGATATTTTGGACCTCAACTGCTTGAAATAGTTAAACAAAAACTTTATACAGAAGTTGAAGGAACATGTACTGGAAAGTAAGTTCATATTTATAAACATAATGCAACAGGTATTATATTAAATAATATTTTAGGTATGGCTTTGTTATAGCAGTAACACTTATAGATAATATCGGTGCTGGTATAATACAACCAGGAGAAGGTTTTGTTGTTTATCCTGTTAAATATAAAGCTATTGTATTTAGACCATTTAAAGGTGAAGTTTTGGATGCAATTGTAACACAAGTAAACAAGGTAAACTATTACAATATTGAAGAAAATGTATGTGTTTGTTTAACATATATATATATATATTCATACAAGTATAATTAATAATAACGCATTGAATTTTACAGGTTGGAATGTTTGCAGAAATAGGACCATTATCTTGTTTTATATCTCATCATGTAAATATCACAAAATAATTATTTATATTAAAATACTAAATATATATTTTATTGAATAAATATGTAAAATATTTTTACAGTCAATACCAGAAGAAATGCAATTTTGTCCCAATGTTAATCCACCATGTTACAAATCAAAAGAAGAGGTAAATTATTGCTGTATATAAAACTTAATTATTTATTTTATATTACTACTGTAACAAAAATATTAATTCTTTGAATTAAACATTTTCAGGACGTGATCATTCAAGCTGATGATGAAATAAGATTAAAAATAGTTGGAACAAGAGTTGATGCTACTGGTATTGTAAGTATTCAATTTAAATATTATTATTATTATTATTAATATAAATATTTGTAAAATACAATAATCATAGTTAAATATTTATTTTGTTCTAGTTTGCAATAGGAACATTGATGGATGATTATTTAGGTAACATTACTTAATTACTAATAATAATTTATTAATATATCGATTTAACTCTGTAATAATAATTGTGGTTTTGTTTTCAGGTCTTGTATGCAATTGAATTGTTTACATATTTTTATAATAGACTATCCTCCTCCAAGTTTTTTTTAAATAGAAATACAAATGTATATTGTAATTAAACAGAAAAACTGCAATGAACTATATTTATATATTAAAGTTTTAATAAATTTAATAATTTAAATTAATAATTACAATTAATGAATAATAAAAGTTTACCTTATTTACCTATTCGTATTTTTATATTTTTACGTGTTATTATTAAAACAAAGACAAAAGATATAAATAACATTATAATTAATTTTTATTCGAGTATTTTAGCAAAACATATAACAATTAGCATGGAAAATACTGTAAATCATGTACACCATTATTGGTATATAGAATAAATATTAAATATAATAATCATAAATTAACATTATTATAAATTAATTTAATCTTTTAATTTATTATACAAATTATTACGTTCGTAAATTATTCTTTTTTTTTTTTTATGAATGAACATTTAAAGTTGTGACATATTGTGGAATAATCTATTGATTTACCTTTTTCTTTTGTTTTGAAGTGGTTTAATACAAAACATCCATATTTCTTCACATCATTGTAGTAATGATGATAAATATTGAAAAATCCAAGATCATTATAATTTACTTGAATTATATAATAATTTTGGTTTTACACTGATCATCACTGTTGATTCCCCTATGGCATTCAATGCGTTAATAACTTTTTATAAATAAAAAGTATAAAGATATTTTTGAATACATACATTGATTCGTAAATATTACATTGATTTTATATATTCTTATTCTTTTTTTTCTTTTTTTTGTAAAATCAAAATTATTTACATATTATGTAAAATTAAACGAGATTTCAAAAAATCTATGATGTAATATCTAATTTCATTATTACAAGGATGCGCGCTATAAAAAAAATTACAGCGCTTTAACAAGCGTTTCGATATACGCGAATTATATTTAATATACATAAATTGTGTTTATTTCACTACTCGTGTAATCTTTTAATTTTTTCGTCATTTTACAATGACCATATGGTTTCAATATTGTAATTATTTCATTTAAACTATTTTGCGTTTGTAAATTTTTTAATCCTACGAACATCGCAAGTTTTGTAGCAACTTCTGTTGGTTTTTCTTTATCGTAAAGTTTACTTTGATCGGGCATCATTTTGTCCATTACATGTTTATAAATCTTACCATCAGCACCAACATAATATGTGGAAAATCCATCATACCATCTAGAAATTATAATAAATTTTAATTTTTCCTGTTAATCTAATAATTCATTAATATAAATACGTACACTTCTGCATCATTTAAAGCTTCCTTCATTTTCCACAATTTAAATTTCCATAATGTAAAAAGTGCTCTTAGCCCTGTAATACCACTTATTCGCCAACGCACTTTTATCGTATCATCTTCTGGATTCATTGTTATTTTTAATACATCTAATTTTACATATGCAAATTTTAAATGACCAATCGTTCTTATCCAAGTAAGTTGTTTCATGTAATTAAAAATACCCCTGAAAAGTTTAATCTAACATAAGTTAAAAAAAAAAAAACATCCAAAATTTAAAAAAACATTCATAATATACTTACTTCGTTTCTGATCCTTTAATATTATTAATAAATATTAAATTTGGGGAATATATTGTGTAATCTAATGTTTTGATGAAAAAATTTGGTAACTGAAAAGAAAAATAATGTACTTTACAAATTATTTCTTTAAAAAAAAAAAAAAGATTTGTACAAGATTTGAATAAATTAGTATAAATACGTACGTCTTGTCTAAGACAAGTAAATATATGTTCTAATTGTTCTTTGGATGGTCTACCTTCCTGATTTCGAATCGATTTTTGATCATTAACTTGTTGCGATTTAATAATTCCACCATTTGTAAGTAAAATATTATTTTGCTTCAAATGATTATTAACAACAGTATTCAACATTTGTTTTTTAGAACACAATCTATTATTATTTACGTTATAGAAGATATCATCTCTCGTTGGATATTCATTTTTCGTTTTTTTACAATCTATATTAACATTGTATAGCAACAAATGATTTAAAACTGGTTCTGTATTTAAGAACCTACTGTGATTAGTCAAACTCTGCTGTGGTATATGTAAAATTTCATTTTTATTTTTTTTACAACTCTTAATCAATTCTTTGTCCAATTTCTGATGGAATGAATAAACGTCTGTATAAATATCGTAATAACTATCTGTTAACTTTGTTTTTGTATCCACCGTAGTCTGAGCTCCCAAAAACTGTAATATATAATAAACAAATAAAACAATTCATACATGCATAAAAATGATAATCAATATAATGTATATAATTGTGAACAATGATGCAACTTCTAACATTATTATTATTATTATTATTATTTGAAACTTTAATTAAAGATAATAAATAAAAATACAAACTTTAAAAAAACAAACCAATTTTAATATTCTAACAATACCACACAACGTTAAACGTTGAGTCGTGCCACTCATGCCAGTTATGTAAGGTTTTGTGAGGTTAGGAAATGTCGGCATTTATTTTTATTGTTATTACATATTTTCAACGCAATGTAAAAATATTATAATTTATAAAAAACAATTTTACAATGTAATTACATTACGTAGAATGAGAAACATCATTATTTTCTTATAATTCAACTTACCTCATTCAAAAATGACGAAGATTTTATGTTTTTTGGCAACCGACAATCGATAGTCGTAACTTGTTTTCTCGTATTTACAAACGATGTTAATTTATTTGAAATGGTACGAAAGCAAAGCGACATTTTTAATTATTTAATTCAATATTTTTCGTACTCATACAATTCAATCATTAATCGTATACGAAAACGTTTCTTCAACGAATATTGAAACATGAGTGACGTTCTGACCTCGACATGTTATTCCGGTAACAACTAGTAACAACAAGGATATACAGGGCTAACAATCTTTTTAAATTACCTAGGAAAGTTTAGATTTAAAAATCAAACTAATTTATGCAAAACTTAAAACACTATTTCATTGTTAAAACACCATCTGGTTTATATAACTGTAATTACTGTTCTGAACATTTTTACCGACAAGTCAAAATGTTCATAAGATGGAAATATAAATGTTTACAAAAATCAAATGAAAAGATGAACATTAAAAATCTTCATTTGCATTAAATTCTATTACATTTATTAATAAATTGTAACGTTTATAATTTGTTTTTTTTTTCTAAATATATAGATATATTACATATGTTTAATCATATATATATATATATATACACATAATGGAAGTAAAATCGTTCAGCAAACAAATTCTTTACCAAATATTAAAATATTTTATTGTATATTTTCAACTTTTTAAAATAAAACATAATTTTGACACGCAAAAATCACAGACACTTTTCTTTTGCAGTTTTAATTGAATGATAATTATAAAAAAAATTTTAAATATAAAAAGTAGTAAATAACAACATAATTTAAAATATATATATATATATAAGTTATTAATAAAATTGTAACACTTTTTTTTCTTTGATAAAGGAGAATAAAATATTAATATAATTAATTTGTTATTTTTACTTATCTAATATATCAATGTATTATATTATTAAAATAAAAATGATTAAAAAGAAAATATGTTACGTGAATTATTTCTTGAACTTTAAAAATAACTAGTTATTAATGACTGAGTCAGTACTATTTACAATCTTAACGATGATTTTTTTTTTATCTGCTTTTTTAATTTAATATACATGAATTTAATTATTATTTAAACATTTCCTGACATTTATAGATTTCTTCCTTTTTTTGCCAATTGATGTATCATATTTTACATCAAGGTAATTTGTATCCATGCACAAAAACATATTAGATTATTATGATACAAATAAAAATACATATATATGTATATAAAAGTATATACATATATATATATATGTGTGTGCATTGTTAGTACTATATCGCTTCATATGCAATATCTACTCCAATTCTCATAGGAGGACCATTTAAAAATTCTTCCAATTCATCACGTCGTCTATTTTCATCTCTTGATCTATGAAGAGAACGTTTTTTCTTTTTTTCACTTTTATCATTCTTCTCTTTATCTTTTTCTTTATCTTTAGATTTCTTTTTCCTTCTTTTCTCCTTCTCATCTACCTACAATATCACACAATCACAGTTTATATAATTAAATTATATAAACAAAATAACTTATATAATAGTTATTACCTTTTCCTTGTGTTTTTTCTTTTCTTTCATTATAGGACTGCTACCATTAGAACTTATATGTTGCATACTAATATTGTCAAGTAATTCTAAATGAACATTTGAACTTGTTACACTAACATCTAAACTTTTATCACTTAATTCCAATTTATCTTTCCTTGTACTATTACAAGTTACATCTTCACCACCTTCTGGACTTTGTCGCCATTTAGAATCACATTGCAACCAACTATCAAATGCATCAGGATATATATCAGGTTGTTCATTAATTCTAATGTTATTTGAAATGTGAATTTCTTGTTCTATAGATGAAATAGAATCACGTTTATTAATTTGTCTTTGTGCTTCAGAATTCAGTTCTGTATTACTTATTATTGATTCGCGTTTTAGTTTTTGTTTATTTAATGGATTTTCTGCTAATTTTGGTTGTATGGGAGATGCCACTTCGTCGGCAGATGACAAATCATCTTCATATTCTGCTACTAGAGGATTTGCAGTTTCTACATCACTATTGAAAATAACAACAAAAAAAATTATAAATATACAAATATTAAAACAAAAGAATATGTATATGTTTAAAGAACACACATTTACCTTTCTGAATTTAATTCTTCGTGTTGTATTTTTTGAGGAGATACCTGATTATTGTCTTCTAAAAAGGATCTGTCTAAAGGTCCATCATCTGGTACAAAGTCTTCAACACTGGTTAATGGTTTGTTCAAATTAAGAGCATTAGTGCTGGACAGCCTCTCTGTTTCTCCTTCTTTTTTATTTCCAAAGATTTTAGACATTAATGATTGTGGTTTTCCTGTACAATCTTTACGTTCTGAATTATCATGTACAGTTTCATTTACTTTATAATTATCTAGTTTAGAAGTACTTTGTGCACTAGATAAATTTGATATGGATTGTGTATTTTTAACTGATACAATAGAACTATCTGAGATATCTTTTACTAAATTTTCCTTTTTCGGTGGAGATTTTAATTCTAAATTTTTTACAGGTATAGGAATCCCACCACCGATTGGACCAGGCATTGATATTGATCGTCGTACTTCGGTACTTGAAGTTACAATACCATTAGAAGGTGGGACACGATGATTACTCAAAGATGAAGTAACATTGGGGACTAGAATACTTGCAGACACTGAATCAGCAAGAGCTCTTCTTCTGTTCACAAGATTGTCTAAAAATTTATTATAATCTGCATCATCACTGTCTTGAAAAAGATCAAGTTCTTGTACCGTCAAATGAGTTTCTTCTTCATTAGTCTCAAGCTGTTTCAATAAAGTTTCCCTTTGTAATTGAAGAAAAGGAAGATTGAAAAACTTATGTAAAAGTTTTAATCCAAAACCATTTCTCATTGATGATTCTGCATATCTTATCTATAAAAACAAACAACAAAATATCAATAATGTTAATAAATATATATATATATAAATAAATTATTTACTTACTGCAGACTGTCTTTGCAATGAATCAATAAAGTATGTTATATGATCTGTTGTAACTGTTCTATGATGAGACATATCGCAATGATTGCCTAAAACTATAATAGGTATATGGCTAGGAATTTTTGGAAGTTCACGTTGAACATAATCAAATGTCCAAGTTTTGGTTATATCCATCATAATAATAACACCATTGGTCCCTTTATAAACATCAAGGAATTCTGCATCTAAAGCAGGTTCTTCAATAATTGTTTCAGTAGTAGAATTATCCATTTTTAAACCTTCCATTTTTCTTCTTCGTCTCCCACGATCTACAACATCCCATACTTCAACTTTTACTACATCATCTGTAGCCTTATAATTCCACTGAATACTAGCAACTTGTATTTCTTCAGTAGGTATATATTCTTCAACAAATTTTTGGCCTTGCAGTCTATGAAATAAACATGTTTTTCCTACATTTCTATCACCTTTTATGATGATCTTCACTAAAAAAAAAAAAAATAATAAATATATTATTATATCAAACCATGAAAATTTAAAACAAGAAAAAAGGAAGAAATTTATAATTTTACTATTATATTGTACTCCTTTAGCAAATTTTCTTTGTAACGTTGTTGGCATAGATTGATGAGCTGGTCTAGCTGATGCATTGCCAACTCCATCAGACTTCCCAGCTAATCTTTTAAAGGCAGAAAACATTTTCTCCTATTTTGATTATGTATTCGTCAAACACTATGGTCTTGTAAATTGACCAACTGTATAATGAATATCTGTAGAAAAATATTATTTAAATATAATAACTAAATGAAATATGTTAAATTTAATCCAAATAAATATTAAATTATATATAAAGAAACATTTAATAAAGTTTTTAATGATTATTTTCACAAATAACACAAGATATTTTTGTATAAACCTTATCACCATGAATCTCATTTATAAACTTACCACATATTATAAATAGAACAAAATAAACAATAAAATATATATATTATTTCTTTTCACAGAGAAAAATTCAAGCAGCTGTCAAGCTATCATAAACTGTTTCTCTTTCCTACCATAAACAACATAAATCAAAGGCTAAAGATTGTTGATGCATACTACTATGTTCTTTCTGTAATGGTTATACACTTATATGCTGGATATAATATGCTACCAATAGAGAGCGCACTAGCCTCTGATTGACCAATCATATGCCCAGCACCACCATTTTGAGTTATGTTGGCCAATCATGCAGTTATCAATCGACCAATAAGAGCACAGTTTATGAGAGCCATACGAGCGGTAAAATACAAATTAAACCTACAGTGAATAGAAAAATTATTTGCATATCCTATTTTCATTTTACTAAAGAGAATATAATTATATAATCTAATTTTCTAATAAATTATATAAATTAACCTTTACCTAGATTATATACTACTTTGTTATTTGTTCATATAAAGTAGTTTATTATTTTTAAAAAAATTAACAGATTATTATTAGTAAATACTTTATTAAGTAATTAATCATTATATCTATAAGTTTTTAATAATATCTATAGATCTGTATAAATAAGGTTTCAAATTTTCTGTTGTTAAAGTACTTTTTTCTCCGTGTGTTATTGTCAATAAAGACTGTGCTTTTCTTAATGAATCATAAGCTTGCTTTGCTTTATTCAGATGTAATTGAATTCTTCCTAACTGAAGGTATAATAAACCCGTTAAAGGATATCTTTCTTCATAATATAATCTGTAATGTAAAAAATAATTTTATAATTATATCAAAATAAATGTTAAATATTCATTTATTGATAAAATACTGACAAATATCCTGGTAGAAGTCTTTGTCCATAATACTCTGCATCTTCCCATGATAATAAACGTACAGATGCCTCGAATGCTGCTTCTAAAGTACGTACATATTGGATATTAAATGCATGTAGGACACCTTCCTGCTTTTTTAGGCATATTTTACTCACATCAAGATCTATTATTAGATAAGGAATTATAGCCTGCATTATATAGAATAAATTTCTGTACATTATGATTCATTCAAAAGGATACAAGCCATATTTTTCATATTTTGTAAATGATGGGCAGAGAATTCCGTAACTTCATCAAATGTTTCTTTAAAATTTGGTGGAAATTTCTCATGACATTTTTGACATTCTGTAGCATCGGAAGAATTTGGATATGTACAAGACGTATTTGGACAAGCAGCAGCTGTTGCCATTGGTTCTGGCTGAATGCATCTTTGGCAATCACACAAAAAATAGTATGACTTCTTTAATTCTTCACGTCTATCTTTAGTTGAATTGAGAATGTCGATATATGATATCCTTATCTGAACATAAAAAACTATATTAGGGTATACAGTATATAATTATTAAAATTTAATGACAATAGAGACAGTTAAATATATAATGTTACTTTGAAAAAATGATTATTATACCTGTGACCAATTTAAACATGGAAGATCTTCAAGTGTTCTTATAATAATAGTAGTTCCTTCGAATACAGCAATTGCATTAGGTTTGCAACTGTGATCAATCACAGATGGTGCCAGATAAATGCCAACTCCAATACTATTCATATCTAAATCTAATATATCAAATGAATTAATACATATTCTACCATAAATACCCATTAACTCTGCAGAATTTGGTAATGGTATGTTTTCAAGAAATGCAAATAGAACTGCACATAACGAAATAAAATGTTCCATTCGTTTGGCATCATTCTTAATATCGGTGTAATCTATGCAAAAGATAAATCAAAATTTATGAATTATTGTATTAAATATTTGTTTGCTTAAATATAAAGATTACTTACGAGACATAAGATCTTTAAATTTTCTATATTTTTTTTCAGTATAATATCCCATTTCTTCTCCTCCACCTTGATGAAGTTTTATAATTATGCGAGCCATAAGTCTTGCAGCATCTGGTATAATTTTGGGTGATATTTTTTTCAAATTTGGACATTCTATCTTATGTATTGACCAAGCTTCCTTTTGACAATTACGATTGCAATAATACACGTACTGACAAACAGAACATTTGAAAAGTTTTCCACTGAAAACAAAATAATAATAATAATTATACTTTGTATATATATATCATAACCTAAATATTTTATATTAATATTTATTTTATATTATTATTATGTGACAATATTAGAAAGAAATATTAAAACCTAATTCCTTTGTAAAAAATTATGTACCTTTTCAAACAATTATCACATCGATTAGTTCTTTGTTTCGAACTTAGAGCAAAAGAAAAAGGTTTGCTAGTTAAAATTGAAGTACCTTTTTTCAGAATATTTTCATTTTCTTTCATTGTATGAAACATTTAGCACGTTTTATTTACAAAATGATTATAATAATTATATCTAAAACGTTTGTTTTCTAATACTAGCTTTTCTAATACACAAGAGGAAAAACTGAAATGCCGGAATTTACTACGTATACATAACCTTATAGTTTTGTATCACTGAATTATAAAAGTTTTTATTTAATAACAAATTATTATGACGTTATTTGTCACATATGAAATGTTATGTCATATCTTGAATATTATTACGAAATAATAATAATAATAATAATAATAATAATGTAATTAAATTTATCAGTTAACAATAATACATTACAAATATTCACAAAATAATCAACGTACTATTTAGAAGACAAGATATAAATAAATAGTTTTATTAGCTCTTTAAATCTTACCTTTCCAAACAGTGATCACACCTTTCGTTTCGAAATAAACTTTTTAAAATATGTGCAAATGGTTTAGACGTTAAAATCGTTGTTCCAGCATTTATAGAATCTTGATTATAACATGATCTTTTAATCCTCATTTTACAATAAAAGATTATAGTTTTGAAACGTTAAATTAGGCAGATGACTTTCTTCGAGTTAAAACTCTTAATGTCTGCAACTCTAGACTTTCTTACCCCTTTAGACAGATAAATTTAAACGAGTTATTTTAAGATTGGTTTATTTTAAAGCTAATATATTATTAGCAATAATAATGTCTGTTAACCCGATTCTTCAATTATATTTATAAGTACATATTTCAAATTGTATAAAATAATAAAAGTTAATAAGAAAAATATACAATTGAATATTTTATTTACAATAACATAAAACTGTTGTAATAAATTCTCAAAAAATAGGGTAACAATAAATTCAATTAATTGTTTTACAGACTTAAAATTAATATATTGCTTTGCAATTTCATGGAAGAATATATTGATATTATAATCATATACACTTGTATGTGCCATAGTTTTAATGACTGAGAGAAAAAAAAGATTAAAAACACACAGAAAAAATATATTTTTTATAATAAACGCAGTGTCATATATACAATGCTATTACTTTGTATTTTTTTTTTTTTTTTGTTATATAAATTAGTCTTTTGCATGCCACTTTGTGTTTTATTTTTTTTCTTTTTAATTTTCAGACTCTGCTTTATGGACATAATATCATCTTTTAAAATTCACTCTGTCTTCATATATCTGTTATTATATTCATATGTTTTTATGCGTTGTTGATTTTGAAATTTGTTCTGACAATTTTGTCTATTTTAACTGAATAGTTTATATTACACCTTTTTTTTTTTTGGAGCTGTTCATTCAGCATGCGATAATCCCATTTAAAAATCGATCGAACGTACGATGAAGTAGGAATGGGTGAAAGTTTGGCTTTACATGTGTGATAATGTAATGGTGTATTTGATGGTAGTTTATTAAATGTCTACCACTCTTTCTTGTGCTCATCCATTGATACACCTCCAGGACCCAAAGATACCAGCATTAAAAGGCCACCAATTACTGATAATGTCTGTAATTAAATATATATATATATATTGTTTAGAGAAATGTAAATATTTTAAAAATAAATATAAATATAATGAAATAAGACTTTACCTGGAAAAAGTCATATTTAAGAAAATCTCGTAATGGTTTATGGTCTGGAATAGTCCACCATGCATTGTGATAAACATTCAATGCAGAAAGTACAAGTACCAAAAGCAAAGCACTAAGTTTAGTTTTATATCCAACAGTCACCAATAACATTAAAATACTTCCCACAATATCTTGTAAAATTTGAAGGAATGATACTTCAAAGCGAATTAAAGTTATAAACATAAATGCTAAAAGAATTCTTCCAGCAAGTTGTAATAAATTTTTAGGTTTATTATCACCAAGTGAAGGAACTCCAGCAAACAATGATCTTCCTTCAATTCTGGATTCAGCCAAAACCAGAAGTAATGCACCTATGAGTGCTAAATTCCTGAACAGGAATTGCATATCAAATAAAATACTATAGGCAAATGTCTGTAAAACCAATATGAAAAATAGAACTCCACAAGCTATGTTGACTTTCCATCTTGCAATGACCATAACACATCCTCCGAGTTGTCCAATTAAATTAACAAAGACGAATACATGAGCTAAGAATTTTCCACAACCCCAAGACATATCCATATATTCTTTTTGTTCGTTCCATTGAAACCACATTCGAAGTCCATCTTCCAAAAATGTAGATATAAGACACAATCGTGCAAGAGTTGGTAATATATGCTTCCCACTACGTATAACCTGTCATAACAAACAAAAAAATAATAAAATTATCATTCCATTTAAAAATATAACAAATTTTAAATCAATTGTAATAGCTCAACAATATTCAATATATATTTATTATAAAAATTATAAATTAATATAACCTTAATCTTTCATTATGGTAACATAATTTATAAAAATAAGTTATTAATGAAATATTAATTAAATATAATTATTTATATCCATAAAAATAAAACATTTTCTTTTTGTATAAGATCAAATAAAATCAAATAAAGTCTAGTACATAAAGCAAATAAAAAAAATCTTATATAAACAAATATAGATTACATATCAATAGCAATATAATATATGATGATATGCATAATTTTGTTCTCTTACAATTGCATTGTACATTTTTATATTATCAAGTTAAATGTAATTTAATTGAAATTATTATTAATAGATATTTTCTAATATTGTAATTATGTAAAATTTATACTAATGAATTATTAAACAAGTATAAAATATAAATAAAAGCATAAATTAATAATTTATTAAAATTTAGACATACAACATTGAATGTACTCATAACCTTTAAACATTACAACTTGTCTATGATTTGAAGTAAAACATTGCATTGGAAAACAATGTTTGATGATCTTTTTAGTCATAAATAAAACGTATATATAAAAATATATATGAAAATATGTGAGCAAACATGTTATGTTGGATACGATGACGTTGACAGGAGATACTTATATACTTGTGGTTGCTCGTACGGCTTTTTTCGAAATCTAATATGCATTATGTTTTATACATAATTAATGAAAAATAAATAATAACAAAATGAGAAAGTAATAATATTGATAGTTTTACCTGATCTGCTATTTCTTCGGCTTTTGAAAGAACCTCCTGCGGGATCACCATCGTGTTTTATTCAAAAAGTAAAAAAGTGTCCATGCACATACATACACACGTGTGCGCACACAAGTAGCACGAAGAGAAATAAGAAAGAGAAGGACAGAAATATAAAATACAAAGAGAGAAAGACTGAGATAGGGTAAAGACGAGCACGCCGATCTCTGTACTTTAACACGACTACAAACGACTGTACACGATACTCGGACTCCTCTCAATGATGTGGAGATTGAGTTAACGTCATTTCCGGCATACGTGGTCGAAAAATGTACGTATGATCAGAATCCATTACAGATTTCAAAGATTTAGTTAGCCATTATTTACATACTGAGAAATTATTACTATAAATAATAAATAACTATAAATGTAACCAAAGAGATAGCTATTAATACAATATAGTTATACATTCAACCAATAACTCCCGTTACATATTATAGATTTCTAATATACCGCGTTAAAGGGTAAGTGACGCTTGCGAATGTCGATTTAATATTTTTTATGCGAAAAAAAATGCACATATAGATGTATAATATTTTTTATCGTACAAAACAAATACGGAAAAATATATATGTATGTTTTAACGTGCTTAGAATATAATGTATTTATATACAAATGTATGTTTTATGTTCATCTTCTGATTAACGTAGTGATGCAAAAATTGTGAGGTTAAGTAGTATCATTCGACTGCAATCTATGTCAAAAAGAAATATATTTTTGACAAAAATTGTTTATTTGGATTGAATATTTTATCAAGATTTTATTATGATGCAATTTAAATAAAACATATCTATATATAAATATATGCATAATAATAATTATAATAAAATTAGAATATAATATATTATCATATATCAAATTATATATCTACATGCACAATATATATATACAATAGCAAAATATACATACGATTAATTTTGTAAGTATAATAATAGTACTATGTATTCTATATATACATATTACAATTCCATAAGATTAATATTATTAATTTATTATTATATTTATATAAAACAAGAATAAGCTTAGGAATAAAAATATGTAAGGTGACAACACAAAAATATCACTAATAGATATGAAATAGATTTTTAAGTAATTTTATCGAATTAATAATTGAATTTTGTAGACTTGAGGAAAAATTAAAACCAAAATTATAAAAAAAAATGTTAGAAATAACTTGCAATGATCGATTAGGAAAAAAGGTTAGAGTGAAATGTAATCCAGATGATACTATCGGTGATTTGAAGAAATTGATAGCAGCTCAAACTGGAACACATTGGGAAAAAATTGTATTAAAGAAATGGTATACCATCTTCAAAGATCATATTAAATTACAGGACTGTATCCTTCAATATTTTAAGTCATCTTTATGTGTGAGCAGTTCATAAGCCAAAACGATTAACTCCACTTGTAGAAACATTTTTTAATTTATTATCAAAACATTTGATTTAAATGACCATTGAATAATAAATGAAATGATGTATATAACTTCATCAATTTTATCTACTTTTTATTTTATGGAACTAATCGATTTGGCAAATAAGTCATTAGAGTTTTGTTATTAGCAATAATTATTCTATCAATGCTTTCCTTAATCAAATGCTTCAGATGAAATACACGATGGCATGAATTTAGAGTTATATTATCAATAGTTGTGTATAGATTCGTTATAAGAACTTATAATGTCTTAATGTATTAATAATTATTATTTTTCACTTGTATTGTAATAAATTTTTTATTTAAAACAATATAAAATATACGATGTAAATAATATTAATCTTTCAAATATAAGAGGAACGTAAGAATCCTTTAATATTAATGACATTACGTATTTGTTATATTTATTATGAATACATAACAAAAAGTAAATTAACAAATTTGATAGGTATATAGAATTATATACATAGATTATTTTAAAATATGTACAAATAACTTCAGGGATGGCTTAGTGCACCAAATACATAAAAAAGTTCATATAATTATATATATATATATAGTACTCCAAGCCCAGTATAGTGCCACCTAGCGTTTAATAGATTAGAACGACGTCGATCTACAAGTTCACTTAGTAGACAACTGCATATAATTTTTAAGTTTTTTTTTATCTAGCATCATGTAAATGCAATTAGAAAATGTTTCTGATATTAGCGAACAACTTAGGCTTACTAAAGACATTTTATCAATTTTGAAACTGATTCACGTGCGAGTAATGAAAACATAACCTTTAATTTTTAAATTTCTTTACGATTTGATGTACTTCGTACGATCACTTATTAGAGATTAAATATCATAAACAGATATATACATTTACTTTTAAGAAAACGAGAATACCTTGCTTCACGATGTTGGAAAAATCTTCCGGTGGAGAAAATCAATTATCGAAAGAGGATTATTTAATAATGCGTGCTAAAGAAGCATTATCAAGTGATATTTATGCAGCAAAGTCCTGGCTGATCACCGCTAAATCATTATTTCCACATAGTGCGAAAGTTCAGGTATTTATTATCATTTTTTTTTTAAACACTTCTTTTAATATAAAGATCATTTATGTTGTAAAAATCATAAAGACAATTTATAATAAATACAAATTATTATATTATTCAGTTTGAAGCATACCGAATAGAAAAGCTATCTAAAAACGTCAAGGAAGCAGCAAAATGTTTTAGTGAAATGTACGTGAGATACTAATTATTATTTACAATTAATTTATAAACTTTGATGAAAATTAAACTTACACTTTTTGTTTTTGTTTTTTTTAAATTTTTTTTTTATTTTTTTTATGCGTAAGAGCAGATTTCAGAATTTTCCAGATGATCGAGATATTTGGAAAGAAATTGAAATAGTTACTACATGTTTACGTTCTGAACAATGTGATCCAGAGACAGAATTTTTATGTCAAATGTTTCAACATATCCCTCAAGATTTACAGCATCGTTTATTAGTTATGACAGCTGATCATAGTGAAGATACTATGGAGCATTGTAAATTGTTACTTCTTTTAATACGTAAATTTCCTCACACTACACCAACACATGGAGTTAGTAATTTGAAATAGAATTTTTCTATACAGGGTGATAAAAAAAGAAGTGTTTCAATATTTGTTAATTTACATTGAAAAGATTGATTTTCTTTAGTCGTTTCGATGAGTACTAATAAGCCTTTCAAATATTGAACTCTTTTCTTGTTATCACTCTGTATACATTATTACAAAGATGTACACATTTATTTAAAATATAATTTATAATTTGTAGCCACGTTTGGTGGAGACTTTACTTACTGCAGAAAAACATAGTCATCCGGGTCGTGCTGTAAATGGTTTTAGACGATTATTAGCTTGTGATGCATTACCATTACTTGGAGCTGCTCCTGTTGACCTAAACCCTCGTCTTGGATTAAGATTACTTTGTAAAGCTGTGGAATTTTATTTAGCATATATACAGCATCCGCAAGATATACAAATTCAATATCCATGGGATAGACTTTTTCATGTAGTCGAGTTAATTGGAAAAAAGTTAGGATGGGAATTAAGCAATTTATTTTCCATGCCTTGGAATCGGGAAACATATAGCGAGAAACTACAGCAGTATGCAGCTGTACATGCAGCTAATTTATGTGAAGAAGTTGTTGTACGACAATTATTAATGTGTGCAATTGTAGTATTACTGAGAATACTGAATGAACATGCAATGCTTATCAATAATGGAGAAACTATGAATTGTTTAGTAGAAGCTTTTGGAGAGTTAATGTCTTCTATTACTGGTATAACATTTTAATTTTATAAATTATAGAGTTACAGCAAAAAAATATTATAGACAAGTAAGAAACATTCTTTTTTATATTTAGAGCCAAAATTAAAAAAGCGAAAAAGGGAAGATAACTCAGGAATTGTTATAACTAGTGATGGAGATTACAGTGGCAATGGTCTTGGTTTTGCTGTTAAACTGTGGGATCTATTACACAGTAGTGATTATTTACAAATAGAGATAGATAAACTTAATCAACAAGCACGATTGGATGCATGGTTAAACCCATTTGCAACTGATTTAGCTATGTATAAAGGCTTGCATCATGAAGTGTTAACTAGATTAACTCAAGAAGGTTCCTCATTGTCTACTCATCTACGATTTGCTAGTAGTTGCTTTTTTTTAAAAGATTATAAGGTATGTTGTGTTATATATAATGTTATATAAAAATGGGATAAAAATTTCATTGAAACATTTTTTTATAGGGTATGTTAGAATATATTGTTTTAGTGGCAAGCTCTTTACCTTCAGTATGTGGAAAAGTATCTCATAATTTAACCGTTCCATCTACGAGACATTTGCATTATCTATCCCTCGCACGTTATCCTGTTTTACAATATTGTTGCAGGTTACTTCTTTTAGCTTTAAAGGTACCTACCGTATAATTCACCAATATCATTAGATTATTTCATAACGATTTTAAACTTAAAGATTATAGTTATTTCATTTGGCTTTTAAATGTTTATAATGTATACATTTTAGGAGAATTTTGCTATACCTGGAACTGTAGGAGATTTGGCTATTGGACATGCATTAGTTTTAATGCAAATTGATTGGCCCCAAGAAGCCAGCACATTATCTATAATTACTGAAAGAATTATTAATCGTGGATCTTTTGTATATCCATTATTTCAACCATATATTATATGCGTAGATATTTTAGAGGAATTAACGTACTTATGGACAGAACATGGTGGTGGTGTATCTTTAGATATCGCTACTGGTTCAGGAGTATTACAAAGTATGTCTATTTTATTAAATTAATATTGCAATAGTATACAATATTTATTTTTATATAGGTCGACGTATTACAACACGTGGTGCTGACAAAGGAGTCCGTGAAGAAGTGAAACAAGCTATGAGACGCCAAGCAGCTCGAGACGGTGTTGATCCATTAGACGAATTATTGCAAAAGTTTATTGTCAATGAAAAGAGCGCAATTTTACATAGTTTAATTATACAGTAAACTATTATTTCATTTGGATTCATTTCTGAAATAAGTAACGTATACACATCTACAGTTATTTTTTTTTTTTTATCATAAGTATCTGTAAATAAGTGAATGTTAGATTTTTATAAATTATTTTACGGGACTATATAAAGCATGTACAGATTTACATATTTTCATATATATAATGTATTATTTAATTTCTTGGCTTCCCACGTTTTCTGTCAATTTATATAACAAAATGATTACAAAATACAGCTCAAATAAAAGTCCATATATGTGTATTAACGAGTAAATCATATTTATATTTTAAATATTTCCACTTGTATATAAACATTATCATTTTCTTACATAATTTTATTTATTAGGACACAAATTTTAAACAATTAACGTAAATGTAAACATTAATATTACATTAATTATTATTCTTCTCATTTCTTTCAATTTAAAGTAAGAAACATACCAGAAGAATATTTTGTATACAAAAATAAGCTTTTTACCTTCATTATTCAAAATCAACTTAAATATTGCTTATATACATTTCTTTTAAATTAAAACCAATGAAGCAAATAATTTATATAAAAAACAGTTATAAAATATCAATATAGCTTTCCTTATGGTCTTGTAACTACTCATTAATATATTACAATACGAAAAAAAAGAAAGGCTACAAGATTGTGTCGAAATTTAGGTACAGTTGCAGAAGAGTGAAAAATATAAACTCCATAAATTATATTAATGTTATTAACTGTAAATGATGTAATAAAGAAATTAAAAAGACATATACTTTTTTCGATGTAGAATAAAGTATGTTTTTTTTTTTTTCATGAAAGATGATAAAATATAAACCTTTATAACGAGGATGTCTACCGTATATTTTCAGTATATCATATTTTATCTAATGTAAATTCCTAACTGAAGGGCACTTTGAAGTAATACTTTGATACCAGGCATGAAAGAAGATATCTGACTAAAATCTGGACCTGATACTAGTTGCGTGTGCAAACTTAGACCACTAGAGTAATTTCCACTTTGTACCATCTCTGATATTTGATGTAATCCTTGAATGGTATTTTGTGATAACTAAAAAGTAATTTAACAAATTGTTAAATATCAAAGAAATTTATATATGCATGGGGAAAAAAGTATGATAATTTACGTACTCTATTTTCTCTGAGACAATCATAAAGTATTTCCAATTTTTTAGATACATCTTCTATCTTTCTTTTAATTTGCTGAAATACAAATGCAAAAGACATATTATATGTTAATATGTAATATGAAATAATACATGATACAATAATTTCGAATTTAAATTAATTAATATTTACCGGATTTTTAGCGCTTTCAAAGCATCGCATTTTTAGTTCATCGAATACCGTTTTCAAATGCATATGTTCCTCAGGTATTGGTGGTTTTGCTTTCTCAGGTTCCATAGCTTTTGCTACTGTTACAGGTTGTGCAATATCAACAGGTTTATTATATTGAGTACCAGCACTTGGAATGTTATGAACATATTGTTGTGGATTATAAGGTGTCTGAGACTCATTGTAATAATTATCTTGTGGTAATATCTGTAATCATTTATAAGATATTATAATTACTATAAGAATAATAAATATGATAATGTTTGTATACTTACATTAGGCTCAGGTTGTGGAATTGTATTTCTTAAAGGATGTAGTATTGGACTTTGAAATTCATATTTTGCCTGAAAAAATGATGAAGTTATTATAATCATATAATGTATTATATAAATATTTAATCATCTATACTATAATTTGATTATTTTAACAAATATTGTCATAATATTTGTTAATATTGTCATAATATTTGTTTTAACCATAAAGTATATAATACTAGTCTTTGTATAAAAAGCGGTTTATAGCAGCTAAATATGAATTTTTATGTTACATATTAGTTATCTTAATATTCACACAAATACTATTGTTAATCTAGGATAATTAATGTCATTATATATCCATATAATAATAGTTTTGAAAAGATATATACATAATTGAAAGGCACATAAGAAATAAATAAAAATAGCAAAGAGGGGATGGCACTCTAAACGTTGAAAATTAACAAAACTACCTTTACATTTATATTCTTCAAATGTTTTGCTTTCCATTTCCGTGTACCAGCATGTTCCGCAAACATTTCACTTTTGTTGTGTAGTGCCAATATTGGCTATATCATTTAAATATATACATAGATATATATATATATATGTCTTAATCAGTATTTATTCTAATAGCCATGCATTCGACTTCGAGTACATGATATAATTACTCCTTATTATACTGATTACATTGTTTCATAGAAAATAATAGATTAATATATAATAAATTACCTGTGCTCTAGAACTTTTGGCCATTGGTGGGTCATTCCATCCAGATGATTGTGACATTGAATTATAACTACTTTCATTGCTGTATGCTGACATTTGGGAAATCGGTTCCGGATTGTATTGATTATATGGGTCTACTTGAGAAGAATTTTGAGACATAGACATCATACTAGATGATAACGGTGGTTTAAAAGATTCTGTTTCTTTTGATGGTATGTTCATGAAATTATGTGATTGACCTGGATATGTGTTGCCAGGAACAGGTGCTTGTGTCTGATATGGATACTGTACATTGTATCCTGGTATAGATCCAGTTTGTTGTTGAGAAGAAAATGATTGTGGTTGTTGAGTAAACGGTTGTTGAAAAGTACTTTGACCATACGATGGCGTAGATTTTACAGATGGATCTATAAGATATTTGGATCTTGATTGAGGTCCAACACTAGACGGTCTTGAATTACTAGTAGTATTTGATCCAGATGTAGGAGGGGGCGGAGGAGGGGACTGTAAACTGCTTTGTTGTCCATATGGGCGTCCTGTTGGATATTGATCGTAATGCGCCGATTGTGTTTGAGTATGAGCAGAAGGTGTTACAAAAGATTGTGTTGATTGAATATTATACGGAGCTGTTGTTGTTCCAAATGATTGTTTAATAGGAGTCGCATTCCAATTGTAATTAGAAGATCCACCAATTGCTGATGTAGTTTGTGATAATGGATTATATGTATTTTGAAAATTCTGATTTTGTAAAGGTCTATGAGTTTGTTCGTTATAACTTTGTTTTATTGGTGCTTTCTCTATGATTCTTTTGGACTCTTCAATATAACCTAAAGCTCTACAAAGCCTATTTTTTAAATCCTTGGTATTTTGTTCCTTGCTATTATCAAGATAACTCAGAGCAGATTCAAGATTTCCTTCTGCTGCTAGCATTTCAGCATATTGAGTTAGAACATTAGCAATTTTACCGTCAACATCAGTTCTTCTAATACCTTGAAATTCTAAAGCTTTTTGCATAATCATTATCAATTCCACAATTTCTTGAACTTCAGCTCCAGATGCTTCTATTAATTTATTCAAATTACCAGAACAGATATAACATATCTGAGCTTGTTTTTTTAAATCAGGATTTTCGCTAGATGCTAAACGATCTCCCAACATGTCACACAACATTGATCGTTCTTGACCATGTGTAAATATACCTATCAGTACTTCTTTCCAGCAGTTGATATCAACATTTTTAACAATGTCAGTCCAATTTTCACTAACTAATGAATTTATAATTGAATTAAGTGCACCAGAATGTTCTGAGAAATACCTATATTGAGTTTTTGCTAATAATTCGGGTCCTCCGGTCATGGAAAGAATAACTGCATCTGCATATCTTTTACTTTTAAAACATAAAGATACAGCAGCTTCAATATTTCCCAAAAGAATTGCTTGTGCAATAAGTCCATCATCATCTATAATAAATAAAATATATATTATAGATTAATTTAATTATTACGTAAAATATGTATTATGTAAATATCAAGATTTGTTATAAAATTACCATCAGAAATATTTATTTTGAAATTATTATTTGCAGACATTGCAGAAGCTGTAGTAGATTTTTTATGTTGTTCTTGAACAATAGCATCAAATACTGCACCTCCATCAATGTTACCATTTGTTATCTATTACATTATAATAAAAATAAATTAAATTGCTATTATTTACTATAGATAATATTTTATAGGAGTAATTGTAATTAAAGCTTACATTGTTAAGATTAGCAATACCTCCTGCAAGTGTATTTATTTCATCCTGAGGTATATATTGATTTAAATTGTTATTCATTGCTTCTATATTATATCCCAATAAATCCAATATGTCTTTTGTGACATTATTGTTAAAATATGCTTTAACACAACTCCAAATTTTTTTAGTATGTTCATCTGTTGCATTATCGATTTTTCCTTTACAATAATCGGCATATTGTTCACTCTTTAGAGTATCTTCTAATTCATTTGATCTTTGAATGAGATCTGGTTGTGTAATTACTTGTGATATTAATACTTTTCTGTTTGAATTCATAGGTAAATTTGGATCTGGTGTTTCATTTTCAAAAATGATTAATTTACCACCAAACTAAAAATCAATCAAAAATGATTATAATTTCAATGGAAGAAACAATTTATCGTTTCAATATTATATTCTTACACCAAATGATGCTCCAAAAGGTCTCTTCAACCATTTTGGTGCTTTTGTCAAAACTGCAATTGATTCTGTTTGAGCTGTAGGATGGGGTTGTGTAAAAGGATCCATTCCTGGAAATGAATCAACAATTTTGTTCGATGTTTCATTAGATACTTCTTGTCTTCCACCAAGTAAAGAATAGACAGCTGCATGACCATCGAAACTAGTTCCAACAATTAAACCTGGATGACGTGGACACCATGAGACATCAAAGTTCCATTGATTTGTTTGCGTTAATTCACATATTACTTCTCCATTCTGAATTTATATAAATAATTTGTTATTATTAATTAAAATTAAGATACATAATCTTCTTAAAAAAAAAAAAAAAAAAAATAAGTTTTGTATACCGGTTCATTTGAATTTGGATTCCAACATAAAATTCTGTTATCTTTTGCACAACTTAAAAGAAGATCTGGATCATGAGGATTCCATGCTATTGAAAGAACACCTCGTTGATGATTTTGTAATGTTTTCAAAGGTGATGTGGCAAATCTTAAATCCCATAATTCAATAACAGGTGCTTGATCATCTTCTGATGCTAAGCATAATTGTGTCGCAACATTAGGATGCCATTGAACTACTTTCCATCGTACCTTCATGCATGAAATTATAATTATTCTGTGAATATTGTTTTTCAATCAGTATTTGTTTCTATAAAAGATACAAAATATTCTACCTTTGAATTGGCATCTGTTAGTTTGATTATTGGTTCATTTTTTCTTAAATCCCATATAACACAGCGTTGTAAAAATGTTGAGGCAAGAATATGTTGTACTAAAAAGTATAACAAATACATTTGTTATTATGAATTTGTATTATTTTCATTTATATATATTCTGAATTATATATTATATAATAAAAACCTTGTTTATTCCATGCAATATATTGAACATCTTCTAATGGTTGACTTTCAGATCCAGGCTTCATCGGAGTGTTAACATTTACGACATCCCATATATAAATTTGGCTTTCAGTTGCACCAGTTGCTAATAAATTTGCTTGAAAGGGATTAAAATCCATTGCCCTTACTGGTCCTGTATGTCTATCAGGACTACTTATTAAACAATTGTTTTCATTGTTTAACATTTTAGATGCAGAATAGATTTGTATTACACCATAATCACAACCACCAACAATTATACCTGCTGGATTATTACCGTATGCTCCCCAAATTATTTTATGATATCTGTTTGAAAATATATCAATTTTTTTGTTAAATAATTTTTAATATTAAAAGTAAGATACAAAAAAGAAAAAAAGAAAAAAATAATAAAAACCTGTGTTCACTGGCCACACTGGCTTTCAATTCCATTTCATATCCTGGTTGTTGTAAATTAATTGAATATAAATCAAGACTAGCAGAAGTATTAAAACTGGCATCCAGCTGTTGAGCTGCAGTTCCAGCAGCTAATAAAATTGGATATTGAGCTGGTGGTGACCATGCCACATTGACAGTTTTTAATAACTCCTTAACCTTCATCTTTGATGTCTTGTAACAAAAATAATAATAATATATACAATTATAAAATAATACACATATAACAGGTAAATGATTATATATATATAATATGTCATTAATAAACTTATCAAAATTTAATTATAATAACTAATGTTTTATATTAAATTCTTCAGTATTTTGATTGATACAATTAATTGATTATAGTATAAGATATTTATAATGAATTTTAAATAATTGTTTATTTTTTTTATTATCAATAGAAATATAATTGAAAGCTTATTAAAAATGATCAACATAATAAGATGCGTCATACATTTAAATTTTAATTTTACTTTTCCTTTTTCTCTCGTTAATTGAAACTGTCAACAATAGTTATGGACAAATAAATGCATGTGATTTTAGATTTAATTTATTGTTTTTATTTATAATATTATTTTGTAAACATTAAAATGATCTCATTTAAATTTTATTTAAGTTTTTCTTTATGTAAAAGTTCACCGACCTATTACATTCAGTTCTGTCATACATTTCAATATACAATCATTTTGCACAATAATATTTATTTATTTAATAATAATATGATTTACTATTTCTTACCTTAATATAATCGAGTGAAGAAAAGTATTCTAAGATTGATATAAAATAGTTTTAGTTATGTCAAGCAGATTGCTATCAGCCGTTAACTCTTCCAACGTGGCGAACTGCATACATAGACAGGTGCTGACATCTGTTATTTAATATTACATTATCATGCTTGACGAAATAATATTTGTTTATTTTAATAACAATTTAGGAAGTCGAAGAATAATACGAAATCAGGTTTATATAATCAAAAAATACAGAAGTATGTAAAAGATCACAAGTCCACATTTTGTATAACCACATTCATCTATGTTACTAACCTTAAAACCAGAGGGCGTTAGTGGGTACGAAAACATGATAACAGTACAATACTGTCAACAAATAATATTTGAAGGTTTATTTCTGTTTTATCGTAGTCGGGTAGTGTAGTTTTTATGCTGAATGCATTAATCACGTGTGTGTATGTGTTTGTAAACAAATCTTTGGTATAGATGATAAGATAATAAAGTAGGTTAGTACTAATATTTTACAATGGATATTTTATTATATAAAAAATGATTGAAATACAAACTTATAAAAAATTAGAAAAATTATTATATAATATAGGAAAACAACATTACAAATATAAACTTAAGAATAATACATTATATCTTATATTAATGCTATTGTATTATTAATATTTTTTATTTTTATAACTCTATGCATAATCATAAATTATTTTAATTCTTAAGTATTGGTTCATTCAAAGTTGTTGGATTAAATGGTATATTTCTAACATTACCAGGTAATATCATAGGTACTACTTTAACACGAAAATCATAAGGAAGATAATCATAACAAAAATCATAAAAATCATTAGCTGTAGTAATAATTCCCACGGTAGCCATGTTTTCCATTAAATTATTTAACAGAGTTTTGTAGTCACTGTACTTTTTTGTTTTAATAATAATCGATACAACATCGGATAATTCTTTAACAAATTTTTCAGATTGCACTCTTGTTAATAATTTATATTTTGGTTGCATTTTTTTCCAAAGGAATTTATAAAGACGATTGGTAGCCCATGATTTTGGACGTGGTAGTTTTGGTCTTTTATAAACTTTTCCATTAACAATATAAGCTTTATCAATTTTCTTTGTTTCTGATTTTTTTGTACCCATATCTCGATATTCTTTTATTTTTTCTATTAATTGTTTCTTTTCTAATGACGAATCTTTTCTTACTGTGGTAAAATGTGCATTAATTAGTTTACCAATAGTTGTCTTTGATTTTTTATTCACTTTTTTCTTGACTTCTTTATTTTCCTTAGTATTACTCAACATTTCAAGTGGTTTACTTAGTCTTGCATTAATCGGAGAATCTAATTTGGAAGTCGTTGTAGCAAAGTATTCATTAATCTTTTTCTGGTGATTGATATTAATTGCATTAGATATTTTACGATTAGAAGAATTTATGTTGTCTCCATTTTGTTCATTGTTAACATCATCGGCATCCATTATTCTTGAAGATGTTTGTTTTAAACTAACCGCATTCATATCTAAATCCTTTACCAATGTTTTATTATTTATTTGTAATATATTTTCTTCATTATTGTTAGAAATATTCTGACTATTCTGTAATGTAGATATTTTTCTTTTTAATGTTTCATTTTTACTCGTATATTCTATTGCATTGATTGGGTGCACTGAATTATTATTACTGTTAATTGTATGCATTTGATTTTTTGAAATAATATCACTTTTTTCATTAACATTCATTGCATTATTTTTTGAATCAGATGATACACTGGATGCAGTTTTTTCTTTTTCAATATTATCGATTTCGTCGGATGTAGAATCAGATACATCTGTCAAATTTTTGGACGCCATATTGGTTGTTATTGTTTCAAACTTAGTACTTTTATTAATAATTCTGGATATACTAGAATTTTTTTCGTGCATACTTTCACGTTGCGACGCATTGATTGTTTTTATTAAATTCGAATTATTTATCGTTATTTTTATACTATTCTCCATTTTACTTTTATTCGGAGCAGTAATAGTCACGTGTCTTTCATTTTCTAACGACTTTTCGTTTCTAATTCCACTTTCCTGATTTTCAATTGTTTCTTTTGTGACAGAATCACGAATTTTTGTAGAAGTACGCATTGTTGAATCTGCATTTTTTTCCATTATAGAAGATTTCTTTTCATTTGTAGAAACATTTTTTGATAAACTTTTATATGAAGGATCTGTTATGATATCTAATTTGGAACTTTCATCACTGCTACTCAAAAAACTAAAGCTAGAATTGGTACGATTTTGTGGAATTAAATTATTATCGTCATAATTTACAATTTCTGAATTTCTCATGGATTTTATAAAAACAGTTGGTCCAGAAGAAGACAATTTTGATTTCTCTTTTGATTCTTCTTTTGATTTGTCCACAACAGTTTTTGTCGACATGTTTTTATTGTCCATTAATTTAGCAGACGAATTTGACATGGGTGTTTCAATTTTTTCTGATTTATTATCTGAATCATCATCATCATCATCATTATCATTATCTTTGAGTAAAGTATCAAATGCATTATAACTATTCTTCTTTTTTAATTTTTTTCTAAAAATATTTTGCTTATGTTTTAAGAATTTGTTAGAATTACGACTTTTATCAATGCTACTTGTACTGCTATTGTTTTTAATTGGACTCGCGTGTTTTTCTGTATGATCTAATCCTTCTAATGATTGTTTATTAGGTTCTGTATCATTCGTATGTTTGGTCATAGAATTCTTGAGCAATTTTGTTTCAGATGACACTGAACTTTTTGTATCATCCAAAGCTTTTTTAAAAATATTACTTCTATTTTGAATTGGTCTTTTACGTATTTGAATTTTTCTTTTTCTCAATGGTAAATCATTTTCCTCTTCATCTGTGTCAGATGTAATATATTTGTTTTCAATCTCTTGTCGATTAGCCTCTAAATGAATAAAGAATTTACAATTGAAAATTCAAATAATATTTTAATATTATTTTCTTCTTTTTTTTTTTCTATATTTTACCTATGTGTTTTTTTTCATTTGATGATGAATTTGATGTTTGCAGTAGTTTCCACCATTGTTGATTTTCAACCATTGATTGAATATGTGAATCGGCGTTTAAATGTCTGCTTGTTTCATTGGATAAACTGTATTCTACTGAACGTGAATTTGACAATTTATTCCACCAAAAAGGTTCATCTAAAATAGATAATATAATTTGAATAATTTGTGATTAATTGTTTAACACAATTTACAAAGTATTTACCTTCACCAATTAATTCTGAATTTGGATCTAAGAAACCAGAACCTGCACTGGATCTTAGACTGTATCTGGATAGACGTTTGTTGATACTTTTTCTTTTAGCCATTATTTATATATTTAATAATTGATCTTAAATAAAACATAATTATAACATATTAATATCATATTGTTTTAAACATGTATGATATATATATATATATTTAATGTTAGTAAAGTTAAAGGTTATGTTTGATTCTGTAAACAAGAAATTTAAATTAAAATTCTTTATAAAGTAATTATATGTTAGATATATTTCAATTATTAAATAAATTCGTTACCGTATATTACATTTTTTTCACTATAAATACGCGTAGAAAAAATATATTAATTATTGTGTTGTTTATCTTTTCATGTCCTTGACACACACACACACAGAATCGTTTTATTTTATTTTGGTAGCAATCGCCATCTATTGGTAAAAATAAAAAGATTTTTTGACAAATTTTTTTTTAAATTATCATCATATGGTAACATATCGATATGGTAAAGAAACTTGCAAGATTTTGTTCTTTAAGTTTCTATTTTTCTGGTTAGATGGCGACACTAGTTAATGATTAAAAATTTCTTGTTTTTTTTTTTTTTTTTTTTTTTTAAGAAGAAGAAGAAGAATAGTAATACACGAGTATTTAGAAGAAATAAAAAATGATATAAAAATAATATATTTTTTTTCAAATAAAAATTGTGAATAAAACTTTAAAGATAAAAATAATATTAAAAACTTTGAACATAGAAAAATATAATAATAATAGGGTCAGTATTATCAGTGAAAGAATTTGCACTTTTGGTTTTATCACATTTCTAAAATATACATAATTAAAATTTTGGGGTTTCATCTTGCAAATGAAATTTTGCAAAATCGAGATTGAAGGAAGGAAGAAAGGAAGAAAGGGGATTTATCTCTTTAAGATATTAGAAATATATATATACAAAGTCTAACGACGAGTTGAATCTTAACGAGTATGGAACATCGAACTTCCCGTGTGTTGGGGACGTGGGTTGGGATTTCGCAATCCATCCGGTGGTAGACGTTTCCTGGAAGGGTGTTGAATGAAGAAGTGTGGAGGTAAGATAAAGAGAGGGCAAAAATAGATGAAAAAAAAGAAAAAGATAGAAGACACAGGAGGACAGAAGAAGAGAAGAAGGTCGAAGGAGATTCCCAGTCCACAGAAAGGCTCTATTTGGCCATGGAAATCGGTAAAGGAGGTCAGCGTATGCAAATAACAGGGTCGTGAGGGTTGCCAGAGCCAGGAGGGTCCCATGGGTCAACGGACAGGAGGGTATAGCCTCGCTGTGCAGCCCTCTCTTGTCTCTATCGCCTCCAGCTCACTCCCACTCACTTACCCTCTTTCTCGCTTTCTCTCCCTTTCTTTCCCTTTTGCTTCATCCCACCACATTTCTCTTTTTCTCTCTCTTTCTCTTTTCCTTTTTTTCTTTTTTATTCTTTATCTTTCTCTCTCTCTCGTACGCTCATCTACAACACTCGCTCCGTCCTCCTTTCCATCATTTCCTCTTCGTCTTTTTCCCCACTCACTTTCTCTCTCTCTCTCTCTCTCTTTCTTTCTCTCTTTCTACACATTCCCTCTATCATTTCTCCTTTCCCCGTTACTCCCTCGACGCTTCCACGAGTTCTCACAGCAGCAACCGTTACGGCCCCATATATTTCCACGGTTGCCGGTGGTGGTGGTGGCTGCAGCAGAGTCACGTCTATGGACATAAAGGTGGCTCTACTCTACGCCTCCTCTCCCATACTCGACCGACGTTCGCCTACGCCCGTGGAAATATTCGATTTTTACGATACGAAACGCGAAGCACAGCACAGGGGCTTCAGCACGCACACCCAAAGGGCCCCGTCGTCTCTCATTCCCATTTTTCTTCTCTTCTCTTTCCCTCTTATGCGCCCACCAACCTCCGCTTGTCGCGTCCTGCACACTTTTTCGATTCACCGATTCCCAACTTTTTCATTTTTCTTCTCCCCATCTCTCTCTCTCTCTTTCTCTCTCTTTCTTTCTTTCTCCTAGTACATCGGGGAATGTCGATTTTTGAGCTTGTAAAATACGAATTTTACGAAGCATCTGCTTATGACTTATAACGCGAACAATTTGTTATTAGCTTACGTTTATTGTTAGATAAAGACATTTCATTTTTATATCCACCTTTTTTTGTTTTATTGGGGATGGGTGTTGGGATACGAATTAGAGATCGAAACGTTCATATCCAGCACCCTTTTTTCCCCCCAAATTAATGGGGGAAACTTGGGAATGCTCGAACGTGTGTCCCGTGTGCTGACTAATCCGCTGAGTGTTAATTAAAATAAAGGCTCGCGCCGCGTAATATGCGGGCGGCCAGAAATTAGCGTCTGGCTTTTTGTAGAAATGGACGCGTGTGGTGAGAAAAAGAAAGAGAGAGAGGGATAAGGGAGAGGAGAGGAGAGAAGTGGACGAACAACCAGATGTTCACCCTTTTGTTAGCGGCTTTCCAACGAAGCATCGCGCATTCGCATTTTTGTACTTTCCCTTTCTCTCTCTCTCTCTCTGACTCGTTGGTTACTTAAATGAGACACCTTCTTCAACGTGAGAGGGATATTTTCCTATTTTCATCGTTAAAATTATCTTTTCAAAGTTATGTTACTTTATGTTAAATATCTTACTTAATTTAAAAAAACATAACCTATATAAAACATAACCTATCATTAATAAAAATTGTACTCAAGTAAATGTGTGTCAATATATTTGGTTGGCAAGAAAGTAATTTCGGCTTGCACCAATAGATAGCGTTATGTTTGTTTCGTTATTCTTTTGAGGTTTGGTAGTTGACACTTTTAGGTTGCTATAGAAACAAATTTCGTGTCATTTAGTTTAGAAACAATTGAGTTTTGTTTCACACTAGAAAACCTAAATTACTTTCTTGCCAATCCAATAATATTATCGTGTTTAAATAAGAATACATGTGTGTACGATTAGAATCTAACAATTCCATTTGAATGTATTACAAATAGATTCTTATTGATAATATTTATTTATTCTTCTTCTACGAGACGTCTATTCGTAGTAATTAACGAAGACAATTATTTTGTCTCTTTGATTTATTTGTTGTACATTTTGATATCTTTTTCTTTCTCAGGGTAGGAGTCCCAGACAGCAGCAACAGCAACAGCAGCAGCAGCAGCCGGTACTTCGTGAAAGTTCGCGAAACAAAGAAAGTATACGTGATATCGTTAAGGATCGATAGAATGTACCGGCGGGTAGTAGTTTTCGCGCGAATCGAAAGTAAGCGAAAGAGAAATAGAAAGAGAAAGAGAAAGAGAAGAGAGAGAGAGAGAGAGAGAAAGCTGGTGGTGCTGGTGCTGGCTCGGCGCGTTAAATTCGTGGGTTTTCTGCGGATCGGCGTACGGTTTGATGGCTAGGGTTGGGCGGTAGCCACAAGTGTCTGCCTGAGCGCCCTCTCTCATTAATTCTCTACCCTTGTTGCTTGTTAAGGTAGGGGTCGGGTTCGTCCCTGCCTCCACGGACTCCGAACATCCCTCGGGCCACCTCTTTGCCCTCCTCGTCGTTCGTTCTTTCCTTCCTTCCTTCCTTTCCCTCTCTTCATCCCTCTACTAGTCAACTCACTTTTCTGCCCAAGTCAGGAGGGTGGAAATGCTTTCTCGAGTGCGCACTGAAGAAGTAGGATGAGGAGGAGGAGGAGGAGGAGGAGGAGGAGGAGAAGCTGCCGACAGTGGTGGTGGTGAAGCTGCTGCTGCTGCTGCTATTACTTGGAAAGAGAGAATGTGAAAGGGTGGGAGAGACTGAGATGGGAGATAAGCGAGGAAGAAAAATAGGAGCAAACGAAACGCGACAAAGAAAGATTCGAAAGAGAGAGAGAAAGTAAGTGAGTAAATGAGTGGGTGTAAGGTAAGCTGTCTGGTACGAATATATTTGGTATACCCGTTAAGTGGTACCCGATGCAAATCGAACTGTACACCGGTGGACATGCGGTGTGGGCGTGCGTGTGATTGTAAAAGAGACGATTAACTAACGTTTGTTTCCTTTATATTCGATTGTACCTTTTATATCGATAATAACATCTCTGCTTTTTATTGTCACAACCTCTGTAACAATATATATTCTCTATATATATATTTCTATTTAATACGTGTAAAACGTGAAAGTTCATTCGTAATCAGATAAACGTAGTAAAGCAAGGTAGTTTCATTCCTATGTTACGCGTAATAATACTTACGGCTATATTAACGCGTCCGGCTAATTGCATATTGTGCGATAATAGGTTAAAGCACGTGTTTCACTTCACGGATATTATTTATCCTTTCCCGAGACCTTTGGCTTTTAACGATCCACTGCATGGGTTTGCTAACGGAAGATGATAAACGAGAACGGGAACGGGAATATCGTTCGGGACGAATATCCCATCCATTAACAAGTCCATCTTGCCTTGCTTGCTTGCTTGCTTGCTTTCTGTTCCTTTGGAAGAACTTTTTCTCCCTCTCCCTCATCACCCCATTCCACACCAACAATCCTCCTCCTCCTTCTCTTATCTCCGGTTCCACGTTCGTCCCGTCTCATCCTTTACCCCATGTTCCTTCTGCGTGGCATCCTTCCTTTTCGATAACGATTCTCTCTGCCATACTCCTTCTTCTTCTTCTTCTTCTTCTTCTTCCTCTCTTCCTCCCTTTCTCTTTTCGCTCTTGCCCATCTTTCCAGGAAACCCTTCAGTGAGTGAGACCGAAGTTATGAGGGAAGACGGCTCTGCTTGGTGAAGGGGAACGGAAACGGGAATGGGAGAAAGAGCGAGAGAGTTGTACGTTGAATTAATTCGCGCTTGGTTGAAGGTCTTCTACCGTTCCAAATTCTCCCTTCCTCCTGTCCCTTTCTCCCCCTCTCTCTCTTTTCGACTGTCTTATACTTCCTTTGGTATCTTTGTTGATTTTTACTGCAAGAAAACGGAGTTGGTAGTAGCACTAGTGTCGAATCTCTCTCTGAATTGTAGGATTTCAGATAATAAAAATAGTTCTATGTTGCTTTAAATGAAACCAAATTGATATATTTTGAGTTTTTACAAGTGAGACGTGAGACGTATCGTCTGTCTTTCTTTCTAGTTTGGTCCTACCTTCCTTACTTCCTCTCATCCTTTCTTCCCCGTTAGCCCGATTGCGGAGAGTCACCTTCGGGGATATTCGCCGTCCGGTCCGACAACTTCTAGAAAGGACTGGTTGTGTCTCTCTCTTTCTCACCGATTTCCTTCCTCGTCCTCTCGGAATCCTGTTATCGTATACAACTATCTCTACCGGAGTTGACTTGACTTAGAAGAACCTTAGTCTTTTTATTGAAGTGAAAACTTCTTTAGAAACGGGGTGATTTGAAAATGGATGATGAAACGCTGTAAAGAAGAATGAAACGAAACATTACGAAAGAGAGACAAACATATTGTATTTAGTTTGGGAGAGAATGAGACAGAATATAATATGGTTTTTCCTATTGTTGATATTCTTTTTGTGTGGTGCTTCATGGTCCTCACTCCTGGGTTCTAAATGTTGTAGATATGTAGGGTAGTTTAGGATTATTTCTGATGCAACCTAAACGCGGCAGTAAGCTGCGGGATTGTGGGGGATGTTTTATGGTATCTGCTTATTAATTATTATGTTAAACACTTTAAATTACTCTATACTGTGTGTATAATTAAAATTGTTGTTTAATAGTACCAAAAATAATGTAATGGAACTAGTAGAGCAGACGATAAATGGAATCAAAAAATAGTAAAATTACCCTAACTTTGAAGGTTAATTATACCCACAAAACTTACCTTGGGTGACATTAGTTGGTATCAGTAGATTCCTGCAACCTTTCTACGTCTCTAGATAATGTTTATAATATCACCAGTGATCACACACACACACAGTAGGATTCTGTAGGACTCTATAGGACTAGTAGGCTCTGGAAGACTTTTTCTGATGCCACCTATACGCGGTAGTAGGGTAAATTTCTATTCATTTACTATTCATAATACTATTCATATTATCACACACATAAATACACACACACACACACACACATATA